CAGCTAGGATGGCAATGTTCCTGAATTTTTTCTATTCTCACCAGTTTCATCAGTCGATAAATTCCGATAAGCAGATGGACCCAAAATGGATATGAATGAAAAAGGCCAAAAATCGAATGTGATAGCTTTTTTCCCTTAGGTGACATTGAGATAAAAATTTTTGCATAAAATCCAATGTAGGGCGTATTTCTTGGAATCAACCAAAAGTTCTTCATGAGCTGAATCGGTCTGTAATACACTTTCAGCCACCTAGGTTCTACTTTTTGGCTCGAAAGTGCCGTTTGAAAGCATAAACTTAGCAGTGTGTTCTAGGTAGTTCCTGACACCAGTTGATAAATCCTGATTAGATGATACAGGTCGTATACCTGCCCCGAAAACCTTTCCAAATAAAAAAACGCGATAATTCTACTAGTTGTATCAGTTTACGTATGTAACAATGGAGTAAAAATTAACTTTTTTGAACAAATTTCTTATAGATATCATTTGAGAAGCTAAAGCGAAAAATGCAAACTTGATTTTTGCGTAAAAAATATTTAGTTCATTTTCAAATACAAATCCTAAAGTGTCCAAAAACGGATATAAATATTAATTAGAAGAAAATTACTCGGATATAAACAATCAAATAGCAAAGGAGTATCAAATATTATCATGACATCTTTAATTATTTTTTATAAGAAAAATTAAAATTCTCAAGTTCCTTCTCTATCGGTGGTGGTTGCCCATTAAAAGTCGACCGAAGGCCAACTTAATTCGCGCATGTCCCTCATAGATCGACTGACGTCAGACCCTATTCACATACACTACGGAAACAGGGTCGATCAGCCAACATTAAAAAGGACCCGTAATTACATTGTAAACCAGCATATTACGAGAGAGACAAATCGAAAGCTGGCTGAATTCCTTAGCAAACACATTAGAACAGGCTGATAAATACTGGTGACGGATTACGTAAAGCATAGCAATTACCATGGGATAATTGTTGGTGTATATTTATTAAGGTCTAGGTTAGGTTGGGTGTAACACGAAGAGATCACGTAAACAAATAGGCGCAGGCTAGAAGCCTTCAGGTTCGTTAGGCGCTGTTCAAAATTCAATAGCATTTCGGAAAACTTTTCATTTATTTTGTATAGCAATTAAAAGATAAATGCTAAGGTGGCAATAAATGTGCAAAAAACTTATGCACTAAAATTGACAAAAAAAAAAAAATTTACAGTATTTTGAACGTAATTAGTCCTGAAATTCTATTCAAAAATGTTTGTTTGGGACTAATAAAATTAAAACTGTTATAGAATTTTTCAAATTAAGATATAGAATTTGTTACTCTGAAGAAGTTATTAGAAACGGCTGGAACAGAAAGCGAACTTGAAAGATTTTCGATCGAGTGCGGGTTATTTAGGAAGAAAGAGGACGTAATGAGATTGGCCAAAATGATACAGTATTTTAACTAATAATTCTGCTTTACCTTGCAGACCCTACTAGCCTTTTATGTAACAGTCTTTTGCCATTTTCGAGGGACACATATTATTTTAATAACGAGATGTGTAGAGGACAATGCGCAACCACGATAGGCTCTAAAATTTTAGGCCGCAATTTATCCGCAGTTAACTTTATGGCAATTTGAAAAGTAGTGATGGTATAGGCATCCTCGGCGCCGGTTATCCATCCACCAAATCTAATGAAAACAAGTGCATTTGCTTTTCGAAACCTTTGGATCGTTTTCAAAGTAGAATCTGTTTATAAACATCCTCGTCTTTCAATACAAAGATGTTACTATGCGAAGCATGTTTTAGTGAGCTCATCGTGGTCCTTTTTAAGGGTCTCACAAATCAACAGAAATTCCTTACTAGATACTTTACGAACGACTAAGAATCGGGGCAAGAATGATCTCCTCTACGAGGTAGGCGATGCGGTAGGATTAAAGCCTAGCTGACGTCCATTTCCAAAAACGTCATCATATATAGGAAAATAGGTTTTTAAACATAAAACGTATCTTGCGAATATGTTTATATGAATCATGGTGATACAATCAGATTATCGAGACTAAAGCATTATTACATGTGTCGGTTGTTTTAAGTGTAACCTTCCAGCTTCAGTCTATATATATATATATATATATACGCATTACGTTTGCCACACCTTTCAGTTTTGTGGTTTACCCTGATAAACCATAACATGGGAAATTTATGGTTTATATCGATATGTGGCTATACACAATCGCACCAAGTGAATCAAGTATTTGCTCAGTTTCCTTCAAAAACCCAACAATCGTTGTTCGGCAATTCGTTTTATATTGACTCGGCTCTATCAGCCATCTTGTCAGTGAATTCTCTACCAAGTGTGTGGTAATCATAATAAATGGAATAGCAGATAGCAGAAAGACAGCTTCACTGGGGGGTGTTAGCGGGGTGGGGGAGTAGTCTCCAGAAGTGAACGTCCAATAATGAGTAAAGCTTCATCCTAGGTCCGGGCTAAATTGAAGCGCTATAAGCGATTGTCACAAAATGAAGTAAAAAAAGTAACTTACTTGAGCTTTAGATCAAATATAGAAACAACACTTTACGTTGTAATGTAAACGCGAATGTATACACCGGATGAATATACATTTCAATAGTTTTCCGCTTTGGAGTTTAGGTGTTCTGCAGCATTTAAGTGTCAAATAAAACGAATAACTTAGAAACGGATTTAAATGTTCGATCAATGTTGTAAGGCATAAGGCCAATATGATTCATCATCAATATTACTGTAGGACGAATTTAGAGCGTTAGATTAGGAGCTGTGCGGCTCGGGCTAGTCCGACGTCTGAGAAGGATTCAGCGGAGTTCTGGGTTTAAAGCTTAATGCTCCGACGAGAGAGGCGCGAAGGCTAAAAACAGTCGTAGTTGTGGAACTAAGGCTAGTGATCCGCACGTACAAAATTGAATTGGTGTTTATCCTGAAACGTGAAATATATCAGTCTAACAAAAATCGTAAAACACTAAATATATTGTTATCTTTTTTTGTAGTCCATAGAAATGTGTTCCTTCGAGCAAATGCATTTCAATATTTGATTTACGAACATCTGAAACAAATCGCTTAGGCTGCAATATGGTTTAATCATTTGGCCAATTTCAATGAAACTTGTATAGTAATTGCTTCCTTTTTTTTGGGAGTAATATCGTGCGGTTTGAAAATCTCCTACCAGGAAAAAGAGCCACGCCCGCGGCTCTTTCCTTGGTAGTTGATTTTTAGACAACTTGGCTATCAATATTTACGGCTAGTATAGGATCACGGCCGAAGGCCAATAGTGCAACAAGTTACGATGTACGCCATCAAGCAAGTCCGTTTGGTAGCCTCTTTTACGAGAGAAGGCAGCTTGACCTCCTAATTATTGCGGTGTCATATACACAAACACCGTATCGTAGCACAGCACGCTAGACCGCCCACAGCTCATGGCTTAATGCTGCCATCGCAACAAATGAAGGCCCGGTTGGTCGACTTCCTCTGGACCTATTGTTCGTCGTACAGCCACTTCTGCGTTCCACTGCTGGATCAATAGAGAACGCCAATCGCAATTTATTCGAATCTCATTAACAACACGGCAGAGGACACAGACGTTGGCTTAGCCTCCTACGTGAATTAAAATCATTATCACCTGCAACACCCCTTACTGTTTCTCGCCTGATGAAACCATCGGCATTGTACTCGACGATGACCATTTTGACAATACACATTCTATTACATGCGCTAGCCGCCTGTATCGACCGTAACAACGGAGAGACACGCTATTGGCGGGAACATAGGTGGCCTAAAGTGGCATTGATACGGTGGTTGCATGAGCGTCTGTCGATTGGTCATCGGATGTCATAATGATCAGCTTCTGCACGGATTGTAACGGATACCTCTATGTGCTTGACAATGGGTGGAGGCGTCCGTGTGTGCATATCTGTGATGTGCTATGTTTGAGCGAAGCACAGGAGGTCGTGGGTATGATTTAGAAGAAGATAGCAAGCAGTCTAGATTTGATTCAAATTTCCTGGAGAATCGTTCAAAGCGACGCTGGAACACAGTGGGAAAGAGAGAGCGGGAAAGAGAGCATATGGTTGCCACCGGCCCGCCATATGGAGGAAACTAAAATAGGGGAAAGAAGGCAGACAACGTCACGCGGAAAGGACTACAGCATTGTCACGCAGCGCGACGGCTGGATACACATCAACAATGTACCCACAATTACGTCCGTCGTCGCCACGCCGCCATGACAACAAGCACCTGCACAAGCTGTATTCCGGCAGTGCCTGCTGCATGTCCCTGCACGAGGTATTATTACACACGAGCACACACACAGGTATATGTATATACATACACGATTCCCGTTTGTACCCGTGCATTGACTCATACGCAGGCAATCGACAGTCTGGCATTGCCTGCATACTGCTTCGACAATGTCGAGCTGCACTCTGTTCTGATTGCAGTTTGCAGGTGAGACAAACTCTTTTTGGTAGTGGTAATAATAGGAGTGAAGGAAACACGATGGCGGACCAGAGAAGGGATAGGCCAAGTGACGGAGCAGAATGCGATCGTGGTTGAAGGATAAGCTGGTGGTTAGGTGTGACGCGCTGATAATTTCTGCATATATATACAGTCTCCTGTTGGCAAAAAGTAATCTCGGTTGAACATCCAAAGACATATCGGTCTTTAAACGGCGGGTGCTTTCATATCACGCACCTTATGTGTCAACAGTTCATATATATATATATATATACGTATGTGTGTGCATGAGATTGCGTATCTGGACGTGTTGGATGTCAGAGACGTCTAAATACGAATGCTCATGTTGACGTTGTGTTTGCATTAGAGCCAGGTAATTTTAGTGGTCTCTGGAGGCATCCTATTACCGGATGACGCGTGGCGTAGCATAGGGACTATTTTGTTGATTAGCTTTGCTTTCGGTCGAACTAGGCATTATGTTAATATACTCGTTAATATAATGGAACAAATCTTCTGTCGCCCTACCGATTACTTACCTTTAATTGCTGCTCTGAGGTTTCCTGCGGTTGAAATACCTGCGGAGGTTCCGAGGCTGCCGGAGGAATACCGGCTGTTTGATAAAGCGACGTCTGGCTGGGCAGACCACCACTACTGATACCGTTTAGGTTGTTCAAGCTGGCCATAACCAGCATGTTGACTGATTAGAGGTGCGCTGCTCGCCGACGACCGAACTCTCGTCGGCTTCGTTCGTATGCTTGTTACTGTTAATACCAGTTGTACGAGTAATAACAGTAGCTTGTGTTGATCGAGTCGAATAGCCACCTGCGGACGGCTTGCAGCTCTACCGATCAGTCGACCTCGCCTGTGTCAGAGCGTTGGTTTGCTACGGTCGATTGTCCCGCCAATTCGTAGAAAAGGTCGAACGAACGGGATGGCCGAAAGACTTTAAACTAATGAAAAACTCGATGTCAATTAGTAAGACTCCGCAGACTCTATTATTTCATTATGATTTTGACTCTGTCTGTTGTGTCGCTCCTCTCACGCTGCGGATGCACATAACTGAAGAACCTCTAGCAAGAGATAAGGAGGAAGGAAGAGGAGAGGGGTGAAAACCGGGGATCGGATCGATCAGATTCGATGGAACGGCACAGTCAATCAGTGTAGTTAACGCTGACACCCGCAATCAATCCTACTCGACGTCAGCGTGCTCGGTAGTGGCGCGTAGTGCACATTAGACTACCGGCTTTGTAGTGATAAGGGAAATGACCACGATTATATACTACAATGATACAACTGAAAGCAAAGAGATATTCGAAACCACAAAACAACGGCAGTCACTCCAGTAATCAACAACAGGCGGTGCCGTAGTCCTCGTCACCGCCCGTCTCGTCGGGTAGACGTAAAACAATGCTTCCTTTTCAACAAGCGTTATTGCTCAGTATATCAAACATACCCCGAGTGAACTCGCTAGCAACACAACAGGCAACTAGAACTGGTGGGTCTGCATCCGAGTCACGCGATGAAGAGTCTGTCAAACGGCGACGTCAGCATCCTGAAGATGAACGGGAACACTTAGACATTTAGTTGCACTAATTCTAGCCAATGTGTCAGCTACGGCGACGGTTTGACCTGTACTGTTTCCGCATTGAACGCTTCGTCTCTCTCTTTTTTGCTTGGTCGGTCGCTCACCCTCTCTCTCCCTCTCTTCAGAACGAGAACGTACTATTATTACACGACTGCACACTCATCACTAGGAGAGAAATATCGGCACGCGACACCTCAACTAACACTTTGTTATCTTTCTTTGCGATGCTAAGCTATCGCACTTTTGACGCTTATCTTTTTTGCATTGCTAATTGAGAACGATTGTATAAAATGACGCAGAAACACACTTGACAAAGAGGCCAAGGGACAGAGCAAAAACTCGACGCTCATCTTTGTCCGCATTTGTATTGAACAATGTATATATATTTCTCTGGCCTAGCCATAGTCGTTAGTCACTGCAGTGATATTGTTTCGTTGTACCGTATCCGTCTCGACATTAAAGCATTTCCGTCTAGAAATTGGGATTATAACTATTCACTTCCGGTCGAGACCGAAAATGACAACAGGCACAGGTGTACACACTCAAATACACATACACGCAGATACAACTCAAAGCTCTTTTGTTGGCGTCATCTCCTGCTCCTCGCCCTTTTCGTTTTCCTCTTCGTCGAAATTTCGTTGACGATCGTCGATAACTAGTTGACGCTTATTGAAAACAGACGCTAGTAATATTACTATACCAATAATAATAATAGTAATTATTATTATCCATCATTAGCGTATGGAATGAGACATACACATAGGCTCTTAAGATAGGGAGTAAGTGCCGTATGCCGCCGTATGGTACGTTTGTCACTCTCTCTTGCAGCTTCCGCGTAGAGTTTAGGGCCGGCTGAAGATAGAGTTAACTGGACACCTTATGATACGGCTCCCCTTCGGCGTTCCCTTCTTATCTTTGGTTTCTCCCTCGTTTTCACTTACGTAGAGTGGCGCTAGCTGGCTGTCCAGTCTGTGGCGGCTGATGATGCTGCTGAGGCACCGTATACTTTACCATCAGTGACACGACGACCGTCACACGCTTCTTGCTGTTAGACGTCTCTGGCCGACTGAGCCTCAGACCACGTGTGAGAAGCGATTCGCTCAGCTCGATCTCGATGTTACCGGGGAGCGGTGTCGGACCCGGAGAAGAGAGAGCGTCACCATTTAGAGGGAGGGAGAACACAGTCAAGCCGAATCGAAGAACTGTCAGCGATGGCTGGAAGGGTGAGTGGAAGGAGGGCCCCAAGGGGAAGAGCCGGATTCGAGGGAAAGGGAATGAGACAAAGGGACCAGCAGCTGCAGCAATGTTAGCATTGCCACTGAGGACCGCAATTTTCCTTATACTTTCGATCGATAGACATATCGAAATATTTGGTCGAAAGATCGACAGAGTAAGGACGGAAAGTTTGAGAAAAGAACAGACGTTAACCTGATATCTGATAGATATAAAGGCTGACAAGTTTCAAGTTGCAGTTACAAGATCAAGCATGTCAAAGCTGGTGAAGTTTCTACATATGCATGTGTATATTTGTCAACGAAATGGATAACGAGAAAGATGGGGTCGCATACAGCAGAGACCATTTGCCGTCATCCGCTGAGGAGTATCTTGTATTATATTATCTTGTAAAATGTCCATAATATTCTTGTAAACTTTGACAGACTTTTTGGTCGGGATCTGTTTTCTACAGGGACGACGTTCTGTCCGGCACAGAGGAAAGGTCTCCATTAGTGGAGAACTGGATTTCCATATTGCATTATTTGCAATTCCTTTATCTTAAGCTCTGAGGAGTTTTAGCTGCTCGCAAGGCAGCTCGACCTTCTTTCGAAGGGCAGATCTTCTTTCATTGGACACACGGAGCGTAAAGCCAAATGAAAGCTATTAGTCAGGTTTTAGCCAATGAGGCGTTCTAAGGTTTACTAATAGACCTTTTGAATTCACCGAATTCAAAGCATGTGTTTTCGAATTATTCAGTTCTATCATACTGCCTACATATCGGTGATGGTAATAGGTAATATCTTCTCGGAAACTGGAAAACTCAAAAATGCATTAGCATACTAAGGATAGTACGAAACACTTAAATCACTGAGGAAAAGTTTGGAAAAAAACATCAAATGTTTTCCCTTTATCTGTTATCCGATTAGACTAAGTAGACGTCTGTCGACGACGATAACAACAAGGAAAGATAAAGCACTCTCAGCTAACAAAAAATGATTATGTGGGTGGTGGTCTTGCGACCACCAGATCGCGAAGTGATCAAAGGGCTTTATTGCGAACGTTTGCTTTCAATTGACTCGTCAACCTGACACAAAATAAACCCGTATTGTAATTTTGGAACAGATCGATTATCCGACTTTGTAGGTAGGTAACAAGTAAACCCAGTTTGTCGGGGCCACTTCTTCATGCACCACTAGGGGGATTGATCTGGGAGCTAAAGCAAGCATATATGCTCTATTTTACAGTTAGTTCCCCATACTAACGTATAAGAGTTAAGGGAGCGACGACCGATTATCTCATAGAGTTTCGTCTTAATCTGGCCTCATTCTTTTTTCCTTCCTGCGCTTTCCTCTTATCATATCTTAATTTTTGCGCATTTTTGCCGCAAGAAGGCTTCTAACCTAATAAGGTTAATTTTATTCCAGAGAGCCCTCGAGCACACGATAGCCTCTTTTATTTTTTTGAAAATTGGCTCGTTTTCAGAGGCAGCATAGACATTCAGATACTCGTATACGTAAGTATACATACATTTGCCGCTTATCCGTTTCGACTTAAAATTATACGTCTTATGGCAGATATTTGACGGCGCTCGTAGAGAATTATTTGTCGAAACTTAGTAGAGCTAGTAATTTTCGGGGAAGTAATCGCATTTTCAGTTTGGATTAAGCGTAGCATAAGCAAAAATGCTAACGCGACCAAGATATCTGGGATGAACATATATATCTAATTTAGCTAATAATGTCCTGGTTGGAACCAATGAGGTTCCGTGCGTCTGGCATAGGGACAGGGTATTTTCAGCGAAGAAAATTTCGTCTCCCTCACAGCGTAGAAATAAATCACAATATCCGTTATCTTGTGCAGATTAATTGCAAAAGCTAATCTGTTTCAGGACAAAGGCTTGGATAAAGAAACAGGAAATCTTGGGAGAAATACAGAAAGTACAGACGATGACATGACTATGTGTTTACACTGACGTCGATAAGAAATGATCGTTGACCAGAATTAAGGGTTAATATGCATCGGCCTTGATCCTGTTAACGCATATGACGACAAAGCCAACAAAAAACATAAATCGTAATATTTAGGATGCTTTATGAGAAAAACAGCCCGATCATATCCTCGGAAAATACGTACACGAAAGTTTCAAGAAAACCAAGGAACTCAGACAAGGCTGCCTAATAATGCCGGTATTTTTTGTCCTGTGTATAGTAGAAGTACAACATGAATTGATAAAGACACCGAACTAACCTAACGTGCAGCGTTAGAATTTCTTCAAAACAAGGTAATTCAGAATAACTGCGCTATTTTCGCAGATGGCCTAGTTTTTGTCGCACGTAGCGACCAGGACGTGGATATATATATATATATATATATATATAATAAGATACTATACATGGAGACAGTTAATCTGTTCAATTAAGGCTGCAAAGAGCCCCTCAAATTTGAAAGGGGGCTTTAGTTCAGAAGAAATTTACAGATATTTAGCAGTCACAATTAGTTCTCGAAACCGGAGAAAATATGGATTAAAAAGTTGGCTAAGGCATTCAAATAACTTCATGCCCAGGCGCTATAAGCGTCTAGCAGATTTTAGATATCCAGGGCTCACCAGAAACACCCTGACATGCGAAAATAAGCTAACAATAATGTCGCGAGCTAGCAGCAAGGTGTTCGGGAAGGACTCAAACATGTGGCGAACAGGGTCACCTGAATATAAGGGGAATATACTATCGTATCAAAGTTTTTTTAAGACAATGAGTTGTTATGGAACAGTTACAAATTGTGGGAGGCTCAAAGTAGAAGTAGATTTTTCGACACAATAGACTTAATGTCAGGCCATGGTTAATACAAAGACAATAATGGAAACTCGTAGAAGTAAATCTTTGTGGAACACAAAAACTACACAACAGAAGAACATATCCAATCAAGAATGAATACAGCTTCAGGTGTTGGCAAACGAAAAATCACCTCTGAACTCGTACGATCTAGTTGTCGAACAATAAACATCGAAAATGGCTAGAGGAAGTCGACTAGATAAGACGAGGACGACAAGAAGCGAAGTATAATGTACCTACAACAATAACAGAGGCAGTCCATATTTTGCCCACCCCAAGACACCTGCGTCGCCGTCTGGTACTTATTTTACTACATTAAGTGGAGAAATAGAGTCGAAGACAACATGTGGCACTACAATGTAATACAGGGCACCTGAGTGAACGAACACCCCTGAGACGCCTGCTGCTATCAGAGAATACTGACCACACCTCCATTCAAAGTGATAGTCCGGACCTCGGAATTGACATCTGGAACATAAGTTCTTCCGCGAATTGTCCGTACCCACCTTTGTCTCGAGTAACTTACGGCACGGCTGCCATACGGGAGGACGCTACCGTCATGGCAAACTGTTGACGTATCAGAATACCCATTACCAAATCACACCGAATTAACATACCGAACCTTTTTCGTTTGCAAAGGTTGTACTTGACTTTATCTTTATAGTCGCGAAAAGTTTCTGAGATTTCACTGCTTTTACCATTGAAGGGGCGATTAAAATTCGTGAAGAAGGCATGAAGAAGGAGCCTCTTCGGTATACATATTATCCATCGACTTCATATGGTTCATGTTCTTAAGGACAAGCACATGTTACTATGCTACACACTTCATTTTTTTAAAAAGAGGCAACGTAGCTGTGAATGCAATATTATTATATATCATTTATTTAATACATCCTAGTAAGTACGAGTTCATATCAACTCAGATCGTACATTAATCCATCGAATCATCACTATCGCCGATCGTTAAGAGATTCCATCATTTTAACACACAACGCTTAAATCATTTGCTAGTAGGCTGCGCTGATGAATACGTACGCAAAGCTACCCTCAACAAATGCGTACGATATGCCATTACTAAGGCGCACATGGAAGAGTACCATTTTGGTGCGCTAAGAAATACCTGAGTATCCATACATGGGTACTGTGTAACAAACTTTAAAATAATTGTAGACTTTATAATTTTTTTCTTGTTTTTTCTTATTTTGTTTACCTAGACCTCAAATAACAACAGCGCTGTAGGCCGAAAGCGCTTCCTAGACAATGGCCAGACACTTTGATGGAAAGCTTCGGAAACGAACATTTACCGATGCATCAATAGACGGCCATGACTTGTTGTCAGGGCTGCTAGCAACCAAATGCCGAAAGGACTACGAAATCCTGCTGCATGTTGGTTAGCTGAGTCTGGGCTCACTGCTGAGCTTTCACTGGGGCCTGTGCTCAACAGTGTTTTCCTACCATCATCATCAGCCGCTGCCGCCGCCGTCGCAACTCGGCGACACTTGAGGTCATCAGCTATTGCTTAAACTGTTCAAGAGAGTGCACCCTTCCTCTTAGTATCAGAGGCGATTTTCTAATGATACATGACATTTAATAAATGCAGACCTCAGAGCAGCCAAACTACGCAAAAAATAAACGAGACAAAAACGGCAGGTAATGTTCAGGATAAGAAATGCAAGTTTAATTTTTTTTTTTTAAATCATGCTTTTTTTCTCTATAATATCTATATTCAAATGAACAATACATTTTCGAGGTCGAACTAGTGGTGGTGCTCGATAAGTCTGTCCCAATATATCTGTTCAAAAGAGTTCACTGTAATTAATGTAAACACATGTTAGTCATCATATATGGCCTGAGGGTACGTTTTGATATAGGGTGCGTTCGCATAACGCATAGCAATAAGGGTTCTGCGCGAGTATTTACAATGCCTTCAAGCAATACGCGTAGTATTTAACTAAAGCGAAAGAAACCCCGCAAGCTTTCAAAAAAAACAGCGATGCTTAACCTACAGACAGGCTCAATCGGG